TGTAGATTGTATACAAAGCACCTTGACCTTCGTTAGATCATTATCCGTTCCACTTGCCCGATTCAGCCGGCGGCATTGTTCCCATAATCTTCAGGAGTGGCATAATAACCTTGGAAGACTTGGCTTTCGGTAAGTGTACAAATTACGTCGTACTCGTCCCGATATGTACACTGATAGTAATATCACAGCCTATTATCACACGGGTTCTTCGATACGGTTTCCAATAGGCGCCCGACACGGCACACAAGCTCATTTATAACCAACGCCTAAATTATTTTCTTTGGTAATTGGCGGAAACTAAACAATTAATATGTACAGAACAACGCAGTGGCCTGGCATTATATTGAACACGGTCCGGATGGAGGAACGTGCAGCCTTAGCGTGGAAGAAGAGAAAGGGAAAAACGACGGAAACTCTAATAGTCGGGTTCATTTCCGGAAAATCCTCGAACTAGCAGAAATAGAAAATAAAAATTGGGAAATATGCATGTGTGAAACGGACTGAGCACACTTTCACCTGGGCAGGTCCCCCGGCTTTCCCCTCGATGAATTCAATTGTACCTACAGCATATATTGTACTCTGCACGGGGTATTCCGTAGTTTCGACCAGGAATTAGTCTTCCAATTTCAAATAATTGCGACAGGCGATCCATGGTTCCATACGTACTCCGTAGTCCCCACTGATTCAGCTACATCTGTGGACGGACGCGTGGACCGCCGGTCCCCCAAGGCTGTTTCGGAAGGCCATCTACCAGCCGGGGATCCACCACCTTGGGTTCCTCGGGTACAAAGCCCCAAGTCCTTATAATCCATGGATGTATTTCCCAGGAGAGGGAGCCAATTGTTTCTCGGGGTCTCGGGGGTCTTCCAAGCTTGGGGTCGTGGGGTCTTGGGGTCTAGTTTAGTTCAGCCCTCTATGTATATTAGACCGTTGCCGTCCTTAGCTCCCTTCAGGAAGTTACACGTGGCATTGTGCATGAATGCATGGACTTATAATATAGTTCCAGGGGGGGGGAAAGGACGAGGGAGTTGCACAGTGGAAGTAAGGTGAAATTGACGCAAGTATAGACGAAAGGAGTAGACTAACTTGGGTAAAGAACACAAATAGCGAGAACGAAACTGTATATCATCCTTGCAGGAGAGGGGTGTGCACTATATCCAATCTCTGGTTCTTCAATCGGCGACCCCGGAGCAGAGATTGCGTGGTCTTTGTTTTATGCTGGGAATCCATAGTTCCATGCCCAGTACGGAGTAGCACTCTGTATGGCTCAGCAGATGGAAAATTGGATTCCAATCCTTCATATTTCCGTGCATCCTATCATGAAAAAAAAGAGAAAAAAAAAAATAGCATGGGCTCGATCGGAGAGAGCATCCAACTGCTGGAAGCGGACCAGCTGAAGCTGCAGGGGACATCCGGTAGGTAGTGACCCTGCTGCCGGAACTACATAAGTCCTGCATTCAATGCTCATTGTGGGTCATAGGTACTCAAAATATCTCCCGAGGCACTTGGTTGCCATAGGTTATTATATTTTTAATTTAGGGCGGTTTTCTTTCCACACTGTATTTGGGGCAACCCCTTTTCCCCTGGCCTAGGCATGGCGGAATGTGATGGAAGACAGAACAACCACGTCGCGCATGTGGCCTGAGTTAAATCGAACATTGAATGGATTGGATTGCCTATCTGTAAGAAGTTGGGTCCAAACGTTCTTAAGGACCAGTCAGAAAAGTCGAAGAAAATATATCCGTTCCGTCTGCATGAGTGTTTTAACAGGCATGTGATTTATGGGACTATATTGAAAATTGGGTGAGTACTGGTACAATATATATTTGTTCACCTTCCTGTCTTTTGGCAGCAAAGAGCTTTCAGATCATAACGAAACCAAAACAAATAGATATAGGGCTTTGAAGCGAACCATAGGGTAAAACTCCTCCGAATTGGGGAATCGAGGCCGCAAAATTAGACGGTTCACTCGTCTAAGTCTCATATATGAAAACCACCAGACGCCCAAGCCCAAACAACATTGCAAGGTAACAGACGCTAGAAAAGGCATAAAGAAAAATACATAGAAAACATATACGCTCCCAAAGCCAATAAGCATCAACACAAAAGTAGCCAATGGTCCAAAGTATCGGAAAACGCATCCACAAAGCAAAGTTTAAACCGGCACAATTTGCCCCACAGATTCAAATAAAAGCAGAATTTTAGAAACTTGTCGATCGTAGTCACGTAAAAATGGGTTGGGATGTTTTTTTCTTTCTTTCTTTTTCTCAGAGAGCCGCGATTCTCGGAAGGTCGGCTCCCCCGAAATCCATAGTTCCTGGATGGAGTGCACGCCAAGAACGGGCAGGAGAAAGCGGGATGGGAAACTTTAGAACATGCGCTTGACCGAGTTTCAGATGTGAAAATTTTATTTCGAGTACCCTGAGGCCCAACGTATTGAAAAATGGATCATCGAGCAGACGAGCAAAGTACACATTTGCCCACCACCACAATGAAGCGGTCGTGTGGGCCATCGTTGCAAGTAGTATTGTCTTTGGTTCCCTCCATCTCGGTGCGGAGGAAGTGGGCGGCGGGATTGGAGCAGGTGGAATATATGTAAAAGTTTTTGAAAAAGTTGCACATCTCGATCCCATCGGGGGGTGGATTGGGAGGTTTGTGAAATTGGTGATGGCGAGAGGGAAGTATAACTGAGGAAGGTAATGGAATTATAATATGGAGAGAATGGACTCGAGATATAGATCAAGGTGTATGGGAGTAAAGAAATAGAAAAACATAGGAGGCTCGACCAGATATAAGAGTAGTTTGCTACCTACCTAGGTACCGGTAGAGTGGATGTCATGACGCCCAAGGAATAGATAAATTAAAAAAAAGATAAAAAAGATAAAACCAAAAATTAATTAAAAGAAAATCAAAGACATTCAGAATAAATTTAGTTTTGACCCCTAAGGATAAAGATGCAGTACTTAGGGTATACTCCGTACAACATACAGTACTGCACGGCATCCTCTCCACCACCCCCACCCCCCCTAAACAACCCTTGTCAAGAAAGCGGGTCCTGCATAGAGAGAGGCTTTAATTTGTTTAACCGTTGAGACTAATTGTGCTAGTAATTTTTAGTTGTTTTAATTTATATTTTTAAGGGGAAGCTCAGGAAAGAGTCGGGAAGCATCACAAAACATCGGGTAGATGGGAGATCGACACGGTTCCTCGCAGCCGTTGATGCTTCTTATATTCACACGTGGCGCTAGTCGGGATCTTCATGCATGAGACAAATACCTTCGGCAGTCTCTTAAATCTCCTAAGAACTTAAGCCAAACTGTCAAAACCTTGGCACTGCTTCTTCTTTTCTTTTCCTTGTCCAAGCGTCAGGCGAACAGGGAAGATTTCTCTTGTTGGTAGAGAGTCTGGTGACGAGAGTTGTAACATTGTGCAAGATTGGGCCTGGAACACCGGAGAAAGGATGTGTTGGGCAGTCGGAGCCGGTGATAGGCCCCAATAATCAAGCCGAGGGATTTCCCTTAATTTCTTTCTTTCTTTTTCCTTTTTTTTCGAAAATAAAATAAAGGAGCTTCGCATCGGAGCCTCTGTGCCATAACAATCGTTGACGGATAGCTCCAGAGGACCCACCAATAAAGTCGCGACTCATCCAGATTTGAAGATTCTATAATGCTGTATAATCCTAAAGTAGAAAAGACGATTGTTCGAGAGAGACTATGAGTCGAGTACACAAATACATGGAAGAAAGACTTGACAGAGGAATATTATAGACTGTTTTAGGACACAAATTGACAAATCAGGGTCGTTGAAAAGTAGCTTTGGTGGCAGCAGACTAAAAGATCGGAGACAAGCTCTCCGATCTGTAGTATACGGAAAACGGCTTCCGCCACCACTTGTGACATCTATATCCCGCAAATAAAAAAAGTTAAAAGAAAAGGGGGTTTATATACGAAGTACAAGGTTAGAGCTTTCTATTTTACTTTACGATCAGAGACCCATAGGTGAAACCTGATGCAATGGACACCTTTCACTCTAATTCCGAATACTGGGAAGCTTATTATCAGGCAACGAGTACATCATAATCAATATTTGTTTGGGACATAAACGGTCAGTCACTAGGGGAAACGGTTTCATGAAGATCAAACCATCTCTGCAGGATTGCGTCGTTGTACCCGCTAGTAGAGACAATTTACCTAACTGGGCAGCTGGTCTGGCGAACAAATGATTGAGAGGGCTAGATCTACCTAGGTACGGATACCTTCAGGGCGAATGGAAAGTATATTGTTAGTCAGGAGGCCCTGGATTGGCAAACCCCAGTCGCGATGGTGTGACAATGCCCCAGTTCCAGGGTTGTGTGGAGACAAGAGATCAGTCCACGTACGAAGTCAAATTCAATGGATACAAAAACAAAAAGAGAAAAGATAAATTGCAGTCTACCTAAGTAAGACCCTTACCCTCAACTTTTACTCTGTACGGAGTAGACCAATAATAATGACCAGCACGGCACCATATGTCTTTACCACATTGTCTATCGGCTTGTGGAGACCGAAAAAAAGGGTAGATAAAGTAGCTTTTCACAGGATCCGGTATAGTCTCAACGGTGCCTAGCCTGATTTGTAAATTGGGGTTTGAACAGCTGAATGGGATATTATTGTGCCTTGACCCCTTAATATATCACATAATTAGCGCGTTCTGATAGTTCGGCTTGGGCCGAGTTCGGACCAGAGTCACATGAGATCTCTTCCAAGGTTCTTTGAGCCATTCCTTTTTTAATCTAGCGTTTCCGATCGATGTCCGAATGACTAAGGTTTCTAAGGCCTTCGAAGGAACCTTGGAAGGTCCACTCGTGGAACCCCGGCCTGCCCTACCTAGCAACGACGCTAAACCTACAAAGGCAATTCCAATCCCGTGATCTTGAATGCGAAAACTGAGACACTCCCCCCTCGCAACGATTGACAAAGCGGTGATCCGGCTCGCGAGCCTTCGACGTTTGCTACTAGAGACTACCAGTCGATTGAAACAGAGCAGCTGGGGTGCAGAAAGAGCCGCGCTGTTATCGGGGAAATACATACCGTCATCTCCTCCACCATCCCACCCAGTCGTTGTGGAGACCAGCCGTCCACTCTCGACATTCGATTCGTGACCCGCCAACTGGAACTCCAACTGTTTGTTGTTGCACTGCTCAACATCCCAGTGACCAGGCATCATGGGGTTCGGTCAGTTCGACGCGATATGCGAGAAGGCGCCCGTTCCTTTGTGCTCCTTGGTGGGCCCGGCGTCGACGATCTCCGGGTCAACAGGCATCATATCCAACTGCTATGCGCGGAATATTGAGGTTGCAAATACCATAATCTTCGAGGGTGCCGCGTCCTTCATGCATATCATGGCGCTTAGCATGACAGTGATCATGATCTTGCACGTTCGGTCCAAGTTTACTGCCGTCGGTTCGTCTGATTCCCTCTCTGCTCACATTCGGTGCAAACCGGCTAGCTAACCTTTTCACTACCCACCGATAGGCCGTAAAGAGATCATCACCTTCTTCTACATCTACCTGGCTCTGACACTTTTCTCTCTTCTCATTGATGCAGGTGTTGTTCCTCCAGGGAGCGGCCCATTCCCGTACTTCGTGGCTGTTCAGAACGGCTTGGTATCTGCGCTATGCACCTGTCTTCTTGTCAACGGGTTCGTCGGCTTTCAGCTGTACGAAGACGGCACAGCTCTCTCCGTATGGTTGATCCGAGTCCCCTCCGCAGCGATGTTTGCTCTTTCGTTTGTGATCTCGCTGGCGACTTTCAAGTCATGGGGTTCGATGGGTCCCCAAAATACCACAGGCTTGTTCGTGGTGTTATACCTGTTGAACGCCATCTCAATCGCTGTATACTTGGCCATGCAATTGCTCCTAGTTGCGAATACATTGGATGACCGCTGGCCGCTGGGCCATATCTCCTTTGGTGTGGTCGTCTTCATCATTGGCCAGGTTCTCTTGTACCAATTCAGCGACGTTATCTGCAACAACGTGCAGCATTACCTGGACGGCCTTTTCTTCGCTACGTTCTGCAATCTCCTGGCTGTCATGATGATATACAAGGTAAGTTCGGGTTTCACTATTGTAGCATTGCTCTTGCTAACTTTCTTTAGTTTTGGGACTCGATTACCAAGGAGGATCTGGAATTCTCCGTCGGTGTCAAGCCGAACACTTGGGAGGTTAAGGAACATCTATTTGAGGAAGAGCGCCGAGCTACGGTCTACCCCGACAATAACTCCGAGTATGCAGGCAGCCTGTACCACCAGCGCTCTTCGGCATACGGCCATCATAATTATTGATCTTTCTTTGCCTTATCGTTTTCCTTCTTCGCTTTATTGTTTTTCTTCCTTCGCTTTTTCTTTTTCATTCCAGCGCTGTACATGTGACTATTGACTTCATGATATCTCATTTATCTATTTTCTCGTGGATATTCAAATGTTACATACTGGTGCGCTAAAGCATTCTTTCCAAGGTTAGGGAATGGATATAAGTTACATCATCATGTAATTTGGAATTTTATGGTATATAAATTATTATCGTTAGGAGCACATTACCTAGAAGATATTTTCGCTTCTTACTCTTCCAATCAAGTGTTGGCATGCATAGCGACATCGGACCATACGCACGACGTAAATGTACATTACCACTAGTGACATACAAGAATCGAAAGGGTTCCGTTTCAAACTCAATTTGCATTGTTGGTATCTCAATCACACATGCATATCGCGCCATGAAGTGCGGTTCCGGGAAATAAAATGTTCTCACTGTTTGTACGTCTCGGGCTTCGTCTGCTCCGTTTCGACACAGCGCTAAGTTCGTTTGGGAAACAAGCTGGCGTCCATCATCCCTCTGCAGACAGTGTGTTAAGGCACTAGACCCTCGGAGACAGACTGCGCAGCAAGAAACTGGAATGATGCGGTAATCTTGGAATGTTACCATGCATAATAACGCATCCTTCCGTATCATTTTACGCCGGTGCAAAACGGCTCGAGCAAATCCCGAACGTCTCGGGGCCACGTCATGCCAGTTCAAGGGTGTCATCGGTGGGAGAGTGAAACAAGTGGTACATAGGATCAGCACTGCCACGTTTCCCCAACAAAGAAAGCACCCGCTGAGACAACTTCGGGCATGGGAGCGGAGCAATACGGCGGCGACGCCTTGTTCTGGATGTTGCGGGATGATCAAGGCCCATTGGGGGTTTTCTTGGCTGCGGAGAATACATCTCGATACCATGGTAATCGGGATCCTGTGCATGCTATTCGCTGTGCTCTAGGGCGTAGTGCGCCTCCGAAGTCTAAAGTAAGTGGACTGCCGATCAGGGGAGTGGTCCCATGGGTAGAGTTCTCGTAGAGCGTTCTAAAGCGGTAATAAAAACAGGGGAAATTGTGGAGCGGCATGCTCAAATCGGGGCGCGCGATCTCAGTCAACGACAACAACATCATCACCATCCATGAAGTCCCCGTCTGTCTTGGTTTTTGAGTTCTGTGTTGTATGCGTATCGTCTTTCTTGGCTGGTCCGGTGGACGAATCATACCAGCCTTTGTCTATCGATTTGACCAAGACCGCGCACGCGTCACTGAGCATCTCAAAAAATGCAGGATTCTCTTTGGACAGAAACATGGTAGTATGTGCGTTGGTTTCATCAGTAGCCCGGTCGTTAACTGCCCTAGTCCACAAAAGTCCCGGACTTTGAGATTCCTCGCCAAGTTCCACCTCCTCTGGTAATGAACAGAACGTCCTGTTCCTTGACCTGATGATTTTTTGACTGAAGGATGTTTTGTTTGCTGATGTGTTTTCTACCAGACTCGTCGCACCTTTCCCGAGACATGTGTAGAAGTTCACACACCCGATTCCGCGTTCCTCCTTGATATTCGACAACCGCACGAGACGCTCGTGCAATTCCGACGTGCGCGCAAGACAACCGACAAACTCAAGGTGCGATGATACCCATCCAAACCCGTCAGTGAGCTTCTGGCGCTGCGTATACATGGCAGCGCCACCAGCGGCAACAGCACCAGCCGCGCCGGCAAACATCGCATACTTACCCCATCGTTGCCAGGAAGGTGTCGCGGCGGCATCGGGTGTGGAAGGCAACACTTTGGAGGGCTCTTGCGGGGGTGCGTGGGTGGTCCCCTGGTTTGATGCATTGCCCTTCCCACCGTAACCGAATAAACCTGCAACCTCGGAGAGAGTGTTGTAGGCGGTTGAAGCATTGCGGTATTGACCTTCTGCACCATAGGACACGACCCCTGGCGCTATTCCCAAGAATGGCGTATCAAATGCAAGCACTCCTTGTATATGAGGGAACATGAAAGTACCCGGTTCTACGACAGATTCGGTACCATCTGCGCACCCGGGCTGTGTGTTTGAAGTCGGATTTCGAGTAATTGGTTGTTCTGCTGCCAGCAAAAGGAGAGCCTCCGCTCCTACTATTCCCCCCATTGAGTGACCGATCAGAACGACATGGACCGAGGGGTCGACGGTGGGCGATGCCGTATGGTTGGCGACTTCGATATCGATCACAGTATCTTGTAACCTGCAAAGAAGTACCGTCAGTCAGCAAAGCTTGACATGAGGGACTGGACGCAGTCTTACCAATCTCGCAATCTGGCCACGCAGTCTTTCAAGTCACCTTTAGTCTCATACTTGGGGTAGATAGCGGTGGCAACCTCGACCGCAGGAAGTGCTCTGCTTGCGAGGACGCGCAAATGTTCAGGAAACGTGCCGAAAGTATCATCGCCGCCCTAGGATCGGAGTTGGTCAGTCAACATAGGTTCTACGCCAAAAATGAACCTCCTCAAGGTAGACCTGTAATTCTTCACGGGGGTTTCAGGTCTCCAGCAAGCAGGCATTGGGCATACCTTGAAGCCATGAATAAAGACGAGTAGTAGGGTCTTCCTCATTTTGAAATTCTCAGACAGCCATGTTCATGAAATAGTCATAGGGATGATTCGACCAAGTGGAGGATAAGAGGATGTCGGGGCTGTTGATTCTAATTACGTCATAATACACGGCCACGTGACCGGTATACAAACATGTGAAAGCGTTCGAAGGTTCTGATTCCATTTTATGGGTTTTACTCTGACTGAGCGGTGTTTCCTTCTCCAAATTAAATTTCTATTCATTTGGCTTTTTGATTCTGCAAATAATATATCCCGAAAGACCACATGGACCCAAACGCTTGCATTCCAACTCATAAACTCCAATATGACCGGATATACGGCATATTTGCTCATTCCCAACGCCATAGTAAGACAATGCTTTCAGTTTCGTAACTGAACCTCAGACTGTCCCCGAAAAATGATCGGTTCAATGCCGAATTCAGTGTGACACGGCATATTCGGTGACATGACCAGACCGCAAGCTTTCAATACCACTATTAGTGTTTCCAATATCATTGCCCGTTGCCGAAGGGGCGCATGGCTCCTTTGTATTCGCTGGTGGAATAGTTGTCCCGGGAGCCGTGCTGACAAGTCCCTTGGATACAGCAAAGCAGGAAGAGCGATCGTGGTTGAGGTTCTCGCCATAGAATTCATCGAGAATTGGGTGAAGCATAACAGTCTGCTTGTGGATGGTGACAACTGAGTTTGTTGGGACTGACACCCAATTGTCTATGTGTAAAATTAGCATATGTTCATAGGTACGGGGAGAGAGAAAGGGTTCTCACGTCGTTCAAAGGTGATGGGCTCACTAGCCACAAGGACAATATCGGCACCTTTATCGTGTCGCTCCATTTTGAAGTGTCCTTTCGTTTCACCTTCCTTCCACTTGGTACCAGAAGAGAAATACAAGCTGGCAGGCTCGTCTGTTTTGCTGCTGATGTACCGAGTGCAAACAACAGTATGGCCATCTGTCACTGCGAAATTCAACAAACTCCTAGTCTCAACACCAGTAACATTGTATTTCTCTGGAATTTCCTTGACCATTTCATTGATTCTGGCAATGGTTTTCATCAAAACACGACGTAGAAGAGCCTGGCCGAACCCCTCAGGACCGGGGTCAGAGCTTGGATCCACCCCTTCTTTTTCTAACAGGTCAAGGAACAGGGCAAATGCCCACTCACTGTCAGTGCCACCTTTCACGCCTAGGTACCACTTGTCGGCGAGTGAGCTTCCCAGCGTACGCTTGATGTAGCTCCAACCGCCGATACCACCATTGTGCATCCACATCAGGGACTGGTGTTGGAACGGGTGGCAATTGTTCTCGGCAAGAGCACCCTCGGTTGTTGCACGGACATGCGCAAAAATCAGGTCTGAGCATGTCTTTGCAGCGAGTCGCTCTAGATTCTCACAATTCCAGGCAGGCAGTGTTGAAGTAAAGATGCAAGGCTCTGGTCCAAGCTTGGGATCTGTGTAGAAACCCACACCAAACCCGTCACCATTGACAGGACGGCGATTGTCCTTGATACTACATGTCAGTGATTGCGATATGCTAACCACGTGGGTCTGGCCCAGCGAGATGGGACAACCTACCAGTCGCAGACGTGAATCGTATGATTGAGTAAGGATTGAATGACTTGGCTCAGTTATCAGCTTACTGAGGCGGATCTCATTTCGCCCTTTGTATATCTGATCGAGATATTAGCTTTGGGCTCAATGCGTAGAGGGATGGACCTTACCAAGAATCGACACATGTTTGGACCGGATCATATGCAATTGGAATGACTGTGTCAAATCCCGCTTTCAAGTTTACTAATAACCTCCAAGATGTACACTAAACTTGTAGTTTGTGCAAACCAGTAGTCGAATCAGGGCGGAGGAAGAGTCACCGACTGTTGAGAATCGGTGAGATGCCCAAACGTCAACCACAACCTTACAGCCCAACAACAATATATTCGAGGGGTAAATTTTCCAGGGATTACAAGGAAGAAGGATTGTTTTTATCGAAATCAACACAAAAGAATAAAATCACTTCCCCTGCACAGCACGTCATACTTCACGTGACCAGGGTATTACGGGAGGCTATGCGGCTACTTGCGCAAGTCACGGGGGCTGTTAGTTATGCTTGATGTCACATGTGCAGTGATCCGGTAATCTACAAGGCCATCACTTTTATTTCCATTTTCTATTGAATGCTACCACAACAATAATGAGTGGGAGGATACTCTCCCATCGACTAGGACCGCTATTGCGGAACGGTCACCTAACTCGCCATATTCATAATGCAGGCTCGAGGACCGGCGGCCTGTTACGCGCAGATGGTGGTGCCGCTCTGAGAGGACGCGCATGGCCTGTGGGTGCAAATGCCATACACAATGTCCCTGCTGTTCGATCAATCTCATTTGCTCGAATGCTTCCGAAGCTGGCATTGAAGCTTGTCAGGGTTCCGGCTATGTTCGGCGGTGCGACAATAGCGGGTCTAGCTTATTTCCAATACCAAGCAACTCGTATGTTTTTCGTGGATGAAACTCGTTACAGGTGGAATCCCAAGCTGATCTGATTTTTACAGAGGCCGGTAACTATGCGATGGATGTCTTCAGACAAGCCTCGGAGACTGCGGGGAACACCGCTTCGACCTTGTTCGAAGGACTGCAGGACATGGCGGATCAGACACAACGCGGGTGGAATAAGACGACCGAAGACATCGAAATGCCTGACTGGCTACAGAAGATCCTACGCCTCGATGAGGAGTCCGAGTCTCGGAAGGGCGATTCATCTGGTGGTGGAGGGAAAGAGCCGAAACAAAGTCGGGCAGGTACTGCCGCCGCCGCCGCTACCACTACAGCGTTCGGATACGATCAATCTGGAGAGGAAGATTCACGGCCGGCGAGAGATGCTGCGGAGGATGATCAAATGATGCTGCTAACACGCAAAATGATTGAAATCCGAAATATTCTCCAGACCATCGGCCAGTCCGGCACCCTCACTCTTCCGTCGATTGTCGTGATTGGATCCCAATCGTCGGGCAAAAGCTCGGTTCTAGAGGCTATCGTCGGCCACGAGTTCTTGCCCAAGGGCTCCAACATGGTGACCCGCCGGCCAATCGAGCTGACATTGGTCAACACTCCCAATGCTCAGGCAGAATACGGTGAATTCCCGGCCCTCGGTCTCGGAAAGATCACGGATTTTTCCCAGATTCAGCGCACACTCACAGATCTGAACCTTGCTGTTCCTGAAAAGGATTGTGTCACAGACGATCCCATTCAGCTTACGATATATTCTCCCAATGTTCCGGATCTATCCTTGATAGACCTGCCGGGATATATCCAGGTTGCGGGCCGAGATCAACCCCCAGAGCTCAAACAAAAGATTGCTGATCTTTGCGATAAATACATTCAACCACCAAATGTCATTTTGGCGATCTCGGCCGCCGACGTTGACTTGGCAAATTCGACAGCACTTCGAGCCAGTCGTCGAGTAGACCCTCGGGGTGAACGGACTATCGGTGTTATTACGAAGATGGACCTTGTCAGCCCCGAACGTGGGCACGATGTCCTTTCCGATAAAAAGTACCCCCTTCGGCTGGGTTACGTGGGTGTTGTTACCCGGATTCCTCAGACAACAGCTCTCTTTTCTAGAGGCTCTGGAAACATTACCAGCGCTATTCTCAAAAATGAAAATGCCTACTTCTCTGCGCATCAGAATGAATTCGGTCCCCACTCTGACGTCTCAGTTGGTGTTTCCACACTGCGGAAAACGCTGATGCAGGTTCTTGAGCAAACCATGTCATCTAGCCTGTCTGGAACCAGAGACGCCATCAGCCAAGAGCTGGAGGAGGCAACCTACGAGTTCAAGGTTCAATATAATGACCGACCTTTGAGCGCGGAGTCTCACTTGGCTGAGAGTCTGGATGGTTTCAAGCACTCCTTCAAGGCGTTCGCGGAAAGCTTCGGGCGACCACAGGTTCGGGAGATGCTCAAGGCAGAATTGGACCAGCGAGTCATGGACATTCTGGCGCAACGCTACTGGAACAAGCCAATCGAGGACTTGGATCCTCCAATGTTGGAACTAGATCCCCTCAAGGACCTTCCTAAAGCCGATCCTGAGTCGCTATATTGGCACAGAAAGCTCGATGCTTCAACCTCGTCATTAACAAAGCTTGGAATTGGCCGGTTGGCTACGACTGTCGTCGCCAATGCTCTCCACAACCATGTGGAGTCGCTCCTAGCCTCGTCCACGTTCGCCTCCCACCCTGGTGCCCACAAACAGATAACAGATGCATGCACCAGTATCCTGAATGACAAATTCTTCAGCACCAGCGACCAAGTCGAGAATTGCATCAAGCCATATAAGTTTGAGATCGAGATCGAAGATCCTGAATGGGCTAAAGGCCGAGACAACGTGGGTAAAGTCCTAAAGGAAGAGCTCAGGTCATGCGAGTCGGCCCTGAAGCATGTCGAAGACGTTGTTGGAAAGCGGAAACTCAAAGACGTTATATCGTTTATCGACAGAGTGCGAAAGGGCGAAGTAGTACTAGAGGGCAACGGCGAAGGTGGCGCGGGCGGTTTCAGTGCCGCCTTGTTGGAGAGAGGTTGGTATTTCCCTTTTTTTTTTCTCTTTGCAAACACTGACATATATTATCTAGGACGAGAAGGCCTGTTCCTTCGGGACCGAGCGGATCTTATCAAGATGAGACTTCTCGCCGTCCGGTCCAAGCAATGCGCAACGCAAAAGAACAAGTACTACTGCCCCGAGGTCTTCCTAGATGTTGTGGCAGATAAACTCACCTCCACTGCCGTGCTATTCCTCAATGTCGAGCTCTTATCTGAGTTCTACTATAACTTCCCACGTGAGCTTGATTCAAGACTTGGACGGCACCTTTCAGACGCCGAGGTCGAGCGGTTTGCCCGCGAGGATCCTCGCATCCGCCGTCATCTCGATATCATCCGCAAGAAGGAGCTGCTAGAGCTGGCTCTGCAGAAGATCGAAGGCATCCGACAGCTTGACGGCCGCGCCCGGAAACCAGAGCGTGCGCCTCCTGGAAAGGAAACGCGGAGCCGTTGGAACCTTTTCTAGAAGATATGACGTTTGGGATTTCTGTCTCTTCCCCCTACTGCCTTTGCGAAACACCTGTTTTCCCTTCTTGGTCTGGGTTTAGATACCTTTGCTAGTGTTCGCGCCACTCTCTTTATCCTGTTTAGCCAGCTTCTCCTCTTACCCTTCCTCTTGGGATCATATGTATCTCAAAATATTTTCAAGTCAATGTACATAGCTCTAGACCGTTCATTACACAATCGATAATCTCTTCCTTGAATCTGTATCCATTCTCTATTCCTGATCTGTAGAAATCCTAGCTACCCCGTAGTCTTGCCGGCAAGTACCTCGGCCTACATATGAACGTATGAGACTTCGTATCACAGGGCCGAATTACACAGGCCCCAGGTACTCCATGGACAGTGCTCCTTGACCCCAGTCGGTGATGATTTGCTTGATCTCCTCCAAATCATGAAGGATGCGCACCACGATGTTACCATCGCGAGCCCACATGTAGTATCTGCCGTCTGATTCAACCAGGACGTCGCACCGATCTTGAGACACAAACACCGGCATGCAATTGGTGAGGCCATAACAATTAGTCATACGCTCTTGAACACCGTGTTTTTCCTTCCATTCATCATAGTCAAGCTCCACTGGATCACTCGAGAATCCAAGAGGGTCAGTCGGGGCCCCACTGTTGTCATCAGCCACGGCTTTGATAGCAAGGGAATGATATACTTACCCGTGTTGGTTTCGTGCCGTTCCGAGGCTCTGCCCGCCAACATGGACTCCCTGGTGGAGGCTCAGCTTTCTCAAAAATGAATATAGTCTGTGGCACCAGACCAGCAAGCCTTCTAGATCGGCGAGGCTTTCTATTGGGTTAGCGTCGTCCATAGTCGCATATTTGGGTTAACCTCACCTCGAAGTTGATTCTTTTGGGGTTTGGTAGTTTTGATTTTTTGGGAGCCATTTTCCAAGGACAGGAATGCAGAGCACATAGGCCGGTGGAGAGAGTTTGGCCTGTATAAGAAAGGCCCGTGATATGTCTGTAACGAAGAAATTGTGCAGGCCTGTAAAAAGATATAGGATGATGTGTACTCTGGTGCTTTATTTGATCTTCTTTCATAGTGCCTCTCCTTGTTAGTATTCGACTATTTCTATTTATGTCAGTCAGATATATCTATAATTGTATACCTTGGATCTTCACGTTTCAAGATATTCATTGACTTTGGTCTTGGATAATCTATTTTGTACATCTGGGCACAATCGGTGGGCTTTGATGACAACTAATATCATGTCCTTGAGATCCTCTACAAAGGAACGAATCCCACCAGTACTGATATGGGATGATTATTTAAACGATGAGGTTCCTGCGCAGCTATCTAGGAGAATACAACAACCGCAATGTCAACAACCCCGATGACACCTTCCACTGAGGTATATTTGCCGGCTTATAATGGCCAAGAGAACTTGAAGAGTGCATTTAGTTGGAGCCTAATACGAGTGAGTTATCGCAACTGCCAATCCCTTCATTTCTCTGGGCCATAGTTAAACTAACTATACACAGATTCGAATTTTCATGTTCGATGTTATAGATAACCCTTCTACTTACGGCATGGATCGGGAAGTCGTACCAGAATTAAGAAGACTATGCACCGATATTGTCGATCTCAGGTGAGTTAGATGTCCGCTAGACCCTGGTTCTTGTCCGCTAATCGGATTCTTGCAGCCAAAAGGGGAGCAATTATCAGTCTGAGGCCTCCTACCCCCAAACTATTTTGAGGATAGTTAACCCAGCAGGGGCTAGCGAGGATGAATCGTACTTATTGTTGGATAAAACGACTCATGGAGGTCTTCCATATTGGTGCTCCTTTGACCTTCTAGGTAGGTTCCTTTCCATTATTAGTCCAGCACCCCAGGGTGCCACAAATTACAATTTCTACTTACCTCTTGACATTGATGTACGCCAATTGGTGTCGCAAGATAGCTCCGCGCTCTCCCTATGTGTATTCATGTGTTTGGGCAGAGAAAAACGGTAAGCAGAGCCGCTTTCACCTGGGAGCATCGCTTGGGGGATATACCACTCCTAAACCAGGGGCCGACCTCTGGGTCAGAATTCTGCAACAAGCCCGTTTCAATATTCTCCGCGATCAAAGAATTGACACAGTAGGAATAACAGCCTGGTCTTCGAATTTAAAGGGTCGAACAATCAAAATTATTCCGTTTGGAAACTGCGCAGAAACCTATCCTCTTGCGCACCTTCTACGGTGAGTCCATACCTTTGAGATCCCATATATCCCATACTAACTAATTAGGAACCGTAACTCTCGTGAGGAGGTTTATGGTCTTGCAGTGATGCCTCCCAAATCGTCCAGAGATGCATACAGCCACTCGCAAGCATTGAAGACATTGCTGAGACCTTGCGCTAATTGTCAACGGGTGATAGGCCTCTGGGGTGGGAAAGTAGAAAACTTCATCACAGATGAGATGCCGGGGAATAGTACCGCAGCACCTTCAGGAGTGCAATCGCCTACATCACGAGGTCCTGGCCCGAGAGCATCTGGATCGGGGATTGCTTTACCGACCCGGCGTAAACGTCCTTCTCCAGATAATGGCACTGACACTCCTGAACCTACGCCGAAAAAGCCTAAAGGCCCTGAGATGCCTAGAAAACCATCTCAATTGGCCAAGGGAAAAGGGAAACCGCAGTGAAGATGTAGGGATCTGTAAAGTGAAAAGCACTCTTGTCGCTGTTATTTATTATATATAGACTTGTTATTTTAGTGTATGAATCTGTGATGTTCTTATATCGTGAGTCGACTCCATTTATCGAACTTAGTGCCCCTAGTTGAAAGAAGCCAGGGGCAACCTTGGAAGCAGAGGCGATATGATATGTTAGCTATATGAGGTAGACTTTCTAAGTAACATAAAGCTGGATTGTCTTAAACCTGCAAAGCTACCAGCTATTCAGGAGCAAAACTTGCAGCCCTTAATTTAATAACAGAGCTAATATTTTTGGTAAGACTAAAGGGAAGAAGGAGAGAGTGGGAAAAGCCAAAACAAGTGTTATATTGTTCGATCTTCTTAAATGCCTCCAGGAGCACGTTGACTCTTCCTCGCACCCTCATCGTGAGTGACCCGGTTCCCTTGCGATGCCCCGAAGATAAACCGATACCAGGCCTTTTTCTTGTCGGTCATTGCCTTCACCTTCGTCTCGATTGTTTCACAGGACGTGACAGGTCCGGACCAGGGCAAGTGTAAGGTACTAGGCAGCTGGGCCTGGCTTGGCGGTTGACCTGGAGGCGAAGACTACATGCCTGGGACTACATGCTTGGCTCCGATAGATGAATGCCTGGTAAACCGTGATGCTCTCGATAAACCCGATGACGAAACAACGATCGCAAGACAATAAAAAATCGACCTTGGCAGCAATTATTGATGTAGTGGAGACGTGGTGGCGGTAGAAACAAGGTCCCGACGGTCACGTCCCAATCCTGCAGATATGGGCCGAAGCGCTAGCGTCTTGTAGTCTTAGAGCAGCAGGGACGATCGCAGTTGGATCCAAAGCGCGTGTTGGTGGCGCAAACACTGTTCATCAGAAGAGGATAGCTGGGGGAACATGGTCAAAGTAGTCGGCCAAGAATGAGCAGCTCGACAACAACGCGTATAGAGGCTTCTGAGTTGTCGATTTTATGATCAGTCGGAGTGTTTAAGTCGTTGGATAACACCGTTCACACCAGAAGAGAGCGTAGCTGAGGGAACATCGTCGATGTCTTGCCGATTCCAAATGTGTTCCTCCGGATCATGCGTTACCTGCAGAATCGTACACGCCTCTTGAAGGGATTTGAATTTCCTAGCAGCATAATGGACGCCGGTGGTTTTCTTGGTCTTGACGAGTTGTTGTATCAACGGTGATAACGTAGTATGGCTTTGGACCGCACGGGACCGAACGACAGGATCATCGCTGTTCATATCTGCCAGCATATCCGAGAAACTGATGATCGTTTCGAACGTTTCCGGATCAATCGCAGGTTCGTGGCTTGGACGGAGTAGACCTGGGGGCAATGAGTGAGAAACAAACTCGCGGCCTCGGGAATATGGTCTTGCTTAGTCCCCAAATTGGAAAATCAGCCATCGCGAAGGATACCGTTCGTGGATGGAAATGTAGGGGACTGTACTTAGATGAGGCCTGTGAGTCGAAGAAAGTCGTGAGAATCCCACCTAGGCAGGTGCTCCTAGGTTATCATATCTCTTTTCCCTTCACAACGCACTTCAAGGAGACAATAGAGCAGATATAGCTGCATATACAGTGATTTGTAGTTAGACTGTTTTACACGGAATTACCCCGCTGAACTAGAAACCCCTATTGAACTTGATGTCTTTCCAACAAGCACTTGTCTGGAAATGGGGTTAGACAACTTTCCCGAAGAGCTCATAGAGATCATCCTGATATCAATAAATGATGAACAGACACTGCAATTCGTCCAACGAGTCTGTCGATGCTGGGCTCATTACATCCAAGGCTCCCGGATACTCCAGCAAGCCCTGTTCTTCCAGCCTATACAATCCAACCTCCCAAAGACAACCATTCCACGACTAAACCCCTTACTAGCAGCAAACATACTGGTTTCCCAATGTTTACCCGATATCCCGCGATATTGCATACGGGGCTGGGGATATGCAAGAGTCTCTAGACAACCACGCCAGATGGCTCCATCCAAGCGCGAGTTGGCGCCGAATGCTGACCAAACAGCCCCCGACAATGTCTATGGGCTGGGTAGACCGCCGAGAGACATATACCGGCAAGATCTCTCTGTGCCGGTGGGAAATTTCACTGGAAGAGTACGGTGGGCTTCGTATGAACATGCTTTATGATCTGGTTGTCAGATCCTCGGATGAGGCGGCAACGTTCTTTTACTGGAGGGTGCATTGGAGCCATCCTTGCGTGGAAAGGTGTTCTATCGGGTGTATTCCGGACATCCAGAGGGCGAGGGAACCCTACTATGTCGAAGCGATGATGTCGGCCAATGCACAGACGGACATCGTGCTTGATACGTGGAACTCGCCATATCTTTCCCGTCATCTTTGGTCACAATTCGGTGAGGTCGGTGAGGATACTTGGACGTGGGACTTGGTACGGGGACTTCAGTCGCCGATGGGAGATCTGAATCTTGATGTGGTCTATGCGTCGAGAAAACGCAAGGAGGTGCAGAGCTGGCATGTGCGCGTGTAGAACGCGAGAGTACAGAACGCGCTTGGATGCCCTTTTCCGGATGATGATGAACCAGATCTATGATATTGAGCTGCAGAATAGAGAAAGGAATGTCGCCCCGCGAGCAAGACGTATGCAGTGTGGTGGCCACACTGTCCTGAGGAAGAAGATCACGCACAGATGAAAATGACAGGTTCAATACGACAATCCCAGACCCAGTCTATGTATTCCTCTAGCATACAGTACAGTGTGAAAAGAAACAGAAAGCGAAACAAAGAAGACGCGAATTAATGCTTTTGTCTCTGGGTGAAACCAATCGCTGCACCAACGGTGAGTGTTATGAGAAAAAGATTGAAAATGGATATGTCTATCACGGTCACAGGTGCAAAGAGAAATAAAGACAAGGATGGTGAGGGGATGGCATAAGGGGGGCGTAGCGGGACACATTACACAGTCAATGTGTCAAGAAAAGGCATTGGATAACCAAAAGGAAAATGTAGTGTGGCTGGCAATATTACAGAAGTCATCGAAACTGGGTGCAGATGTTTACTCCCGGGAGACGTCACGGCCGAAGAGACGAGCCTTGACCCAGTCGACGCAGACAAGGACACGGTTGCGAGCTGGATTATATGTTAGTGATGAATCTGAATCAGTGTTGGGTAGAATTTGGAACTTACTGCTGAAGCACATGCTCAGGTAGGCACTGCGCCAGAACAGGTAGGTCATAGTACCACCGCTGGCGATGTTGCCGCTCAGCCAGCTGATATCGGCCACGGCGCGCTCCTTACCAATGTAGGCCAAGGAACCCTGGTGCGAGTACTGGAAGGGACCGATCTGCTTGTTACGGCGGAGCTGCTTCTGGCGCTCACGGATCTCGTCGAAGATCTGGTTGCGCTCCTCAGCGGCCTTGGCCTGGGACTGGCGCTCAGAGAGAGTCTCCAACTCCTTCTCGAGAGCCTCGGCCTTGGCCATGGTGTTGAAGAGGCGGCCCAAGAAGGCACCCTCCTGGCTAGCAACCTGAGCGGTGGGGGCGTAGTTGGCAATGGCGCAGTCGCCGACGGCCCAGACGTTATCGGTACCATTCACGACGAGGTATTCGTTGACAGCAAGACCGCGGCGGGACTCGGCCTGAGCGGGGATCTGGGACATCAGGTCACGGACGACGGGGCGGATGGCGTTACCGGTGGCCCAGACGAGAAGACCGTAGGGGATAGTCTCAAGCTCCTTGGATCCGTCGGGCTTGGTCACCTCAGCCTGGATGTACTTGTCGGTAACATTCTTGACCATGGTCTTGGTGCGGATGGAGATCTCCTCCTCCTTGAAGGTCGATTCGGTGTAGTCAATGAGTTGCTTGGAGAACATGGGAAGAACATTGGGCAGAGCCTCGACGAGAGTGACGTGGAAGTTGTCCTTGATTTCGGGAATCCACTTCTTCAAGTCATCGTTGAAGAAGTCCTTCAGTTCACCGGCGAATTCAACACCAGTGGGGCCACCGCCCACCACAACCATGTGCAGCAGACGCTTGACCTCGTCCTCGGTCTGGTCCTTGAAACAGGCGGTCTCGATACAGTCCATAATACGCTTACGAATGTGCTGGGCGTCACCGACTTCCTTCAGGAAGCAGGAGTTCTCACGAACACCGGGAATACCTATACATCGCAAAAATTAGTCCAAAATGCATCGTTCGAGTATGCAAGAGAGATCGCACCAAAAGTCGCGTTCTCGGCACCAACACCGATCACAAGCATGTCGAAGGGAACCTCGGTGTGCGAGATATCACCCTTGATTTCGGAATCATCACTGATGTACACAATCCGCTTCTCGTAGTCAATCTTGGTAGCTTCGGCTTCGTAGAACTGAACACTGGCCTTCTTGTGGCGCAGGATGTTTCGGATAGGTTCCATGATAGAGCGGTGCTCGATCAAACCGGTGGTACATGAGGGCAGCAAGGGAGTGAAAAGGAAGTAGTTACGGGGGAGACGACGATAACGTTGTAGTTCTCGGTGTCAATCTTCTTCAGGAGGGAAACGGAGCCCCAGCCAGTTCCTGAACGAGCATAGTCGCGTTAGCGACACTTTGGCTGTAGGGAATCAACGATCGCGACCGACACATACCGAGAATGACCAGGGTCTTCTTTGATGGGTCAGGAGTGATCTGCTCCGGGGGTTGACGGAGCTCGAAGATGCTGTATGCGACAGTGCCGGTAAGACCGATGGCAGAGAGCCAGGTCAACCGCCAGGCCCAACGCAGAGCTCTGAAACGCTTCTTAGGCTTCGGGCGGGCGAAGGGGCAGCATCAGCGTAGCCACGACGAGCAATACGCGATACAGACTGGGGAACCTTGGTCGACCGCATCGGCTTTGCGCGAAGGGCCAGCTGCGATGTCGACATGGATCTGCGCGTCATCGACGACAGCTGCATGATGGACGGAGCCATCTTGCGAATTGCTAGCGTATTGCCAGCCATTGTAAGAGGGCGTACCAAAGGTAGCAAAAGGAATGCAAATGGGATGGAAGATCAAGGGTGACTGAATAATTTATGAAGAAAAAAAAAGATTTGATAAGCTCGATCATTGCGTTGCTGCTTTAGGCGAATCGGTGTAGCCGGACCAAAGGGGGTAGTCATGTATCTAGTACTTGCCTGATTGCGTGCTGCTTGCAGTAAAATCAGGTACTGTCTACATTTACCTTTTTTTTTTCTGCCAATTCGATGATTCAATTACTATTTGCGAGTATAAAAGTTACTCTAACATCCAATCCTTAACATTTTATCATAGTAAAATCCATAGTAAAACTTGTAATTATTTCCCAGAAAAGATATAATAACCGCCTAAGTGCTTAATCACAAGCCAAAATAAAAAAAAATAAAAAAAAAAGGGTAAAAAAAATTGGAGAACTGAGGGGACAATCTCCCGGTGAGGAGAAAATTACCCGGGGAACTTCAAACTCGGTCTATCGGTCAATGTTTTGGGGTAAAATCAATTTTGATATTGATTGAATTGACATTCGAATTGATATCTAAACAATACAATCAACGACATTTCCCCTTCCCCCACCCCCTTTCCTCCCGCTCCAATTCCCAGGCCCTACGACATTCCCCGACCCTTAACCGGTATTACCCGCATATCTATTCCGCATCATTGGGCTCTATAGTTCTCAAATATGGTAATCCCCAACGGTACCCGCGCTACAGCTATCCCTGGTAAAATCCGGGGAAGTTCGAATCTCCACTTGCATCACTGGTCCGGTTTCTCCCATCTAACCTTCGGAATCCCGATGGACCTGAGTATACACATCATAAGAAACGTCGGCCAAAATCGGCCTGTCATCGTCTGTTGGAGCTAAATCGCACTCGTGATGTGCTGAATCGGCAGCACTCCCGGCCTTTCTCGTGTCAATTGGAAGTCTCATTGCATGACAATTGTTCGTCTATTACCCGTTAACTTGTTTCTTGTGGAGATTTGATACCAGCTCCGATATGACACACCATAGAAATAAAGTCCGCTCACTGGGGAGGAGCTAGAAGTTTCGGTGCTTCAGATGTAAGTATAAGCGAGAGCAAGAGAACTACTCGGAGGCGAGGTCAAACATCAGATGTCCTTTTCATAGTGCAAGCAAATAATATGCTCATTTATGCTTATATCACGGAAAGACCCACGAGGGTCCATTGGTTCCGAGACATGGTAAAGGCTGCCAGAGGATAACGGATCCATCCACAGAGACTTGTATTACTTATAAGCCAGGATATCGACCGAGACCGTATGATCCGATGTGACAGACACTCAGCATCAAGAGCAATGTTAACCTTGCGATTAGAACAAGACAATATAATACCCAACTTCACAAGAACTGGATATCGTCCGTGATGCCCGACGTCAGCACGAACACAAAAAACAAACAATCCCAATGGCCAGATAGCTGGCTTGGTTTGGTATGACGTGTCTATCGCAATATATAATCCAACGGGGATCACAAGTCCTCTTATAGACAACGCAGATAAGCAGTCCACGGCCCCCGACCCAGACCAGAAAAAGAAAAACACACCCAGACCCATTCAAGAACTGCATTATAACCCTGGCAGCAATCCCATAGCCTGAGACACGACAAATTCCACACGTATTTACGAAAGACAGCCTGGGTGGATTTCAAACATGACGGCGTTAATAAATGCCCGCCTATCCGCTCACTGAGTATGCAAGTAAGCAGTGCTGGGAGCTTGTAACGGGGGAGTCTGTCAATTGTGTCGGCTGAAGCCTTACTTGACGAGTGTACAAGTGCGCTCTTATGCGGGTACGAGCATAATATCGCCCTTTGGCTAATTCTTTGCACCGCCTCTGCTCGTCTACGCGTCCATCTGGATTGCATCTGGGTTGGTTGCGTATGTCGGGGTCTCCGTGTCGGACGAAGTCTCATACCTTCATTAGAGAGTATTGAAGGCATGACTATGCAGGATGCGGCTTAGATTGGTGTAGTATAGAATATCCTGAGTTGTACTTTTTTTCATCGGCCCTGTCTGGTCGGATTTGACATCGCTTATGCTTCGGGTCTTCATAGGGTCCGTTTGTCTGCGTTACGGGGAAATGTACATATAGCCCCACTGCGATATGCGAATGTGGCCAGTCGCTCCATGGGATATTTCGGGCCCATAAATGTGAGGTTCCATTACGGTTATGGCGAGGCCGGATTCTGATGTTCGAGGTGCCGCTGTGGCTGAGTGTCTGTAGCTCTGGGCAAGATCCGGATGTAGAATGCGGTGCGATTCCATTGGAATTTCGCCTTATCTGTCTGATTGTTTCTGCCTTGCTTGCTTCCGCCAACGTTAACTGTTGCCTCGGCGGGTGTGGATGCACTTGGTGGATGGGGAAGACTACTGTCTTTGGGTCTGTCGACAGAGAGACTTCATGGGTTTGCAGAGACAAGCCATATAATTAGGATCTCAATGGAGATCAGAGCTGATATCAAGGGGTATGGTCAATTGTTCCCTTTTGATCGGCAATGTCCGGTTTCAACATGTCTGATAAGAGGATAGGGAGTAGATATCAAAAGAAAACTAGGCGACCATACTTGAATCATCAAAAGCGACAAGACAGACTTTAGCAGGCTTTCAGACCCAATAATGGCCATATCAACCGCATAGTCAGCCTAGCCGAAACTGCCCACCCACAGGGCCCATCTTGTTTGTTTCGTCTCGAGTCAACCCGAAGGCCCAATTTGTGCTGCGGCGTTGTGATTCAAACAATATTGTAGACGGTAACTCCCAGGCCAGAGTTGGATGGGCAGTTCGTTGCCTCGAGGGAATCTGTCTCCACGTGTTGTCAATGGAGACATGCATACATGTATTCGAAGACGAATGCATCCGTTGGGCCAGCGTTAATCAGACTCCTGCACTTTCGAAGCAAGGCTAGACCGATATGCAACCTGCATGAGAATATCCGGCTTGTATGAGCATTGAAGTTGGAAACTTAAATCAGAAACGAGGAATCAATCAACGGTATGCATCGTGTGCATCCCATCCAGGTCAGTCGATTCCGATCCAGACAAACGAAAAGAAACCCAAAGCAAAGCTGCAAGCAGCCTCCAGTGACCGGCAACCCCACTAGAGTCCAAGGAATGATCAGACCAGTAAAGCCCTGGTTTCAGAAATAGCATTGAATAAATCCGTCACCCAAAATTTCGGCCAACAAAGCAACCTTTGAAGTTGGTCGAATTTGGCCTCAACCCGCGATTACCGAAGAGAGGGAAAGTTGGAAAGAACAAGGGTGAAAGGACGGTTACGCCAAAAGCACCAACCCGCCACTGGCCTGTGTTCCCTGGTCATGGCCATAACCAAGACATGTTAATGGTGCCTCGGAGACCTTGAAAGGACAAAGGCGTCGTCAGCCACCAACTCCGAAAGGTCAAAGATTTAGTTTCAACCGATATAAATTTGTGGACGCAATGAATGATGATGAGGGAGGGAATTCAAATGCGATTGGGTCTAGGTCCTTGGATTTTCACGGTTATTTCTCGTCATTTACCTCGGTGTATCTGCAAAGGATATTGGAAAGACGGGTGATTCGATCTGTGAGATGTCGATGACTGTGACATGTGTGCTGTTCATCCACGGTGCTGTGCAGGCGATAGTCCGCTGATCCACATAAAATCGAAAGTGACAATGTGAAGTTTCCCATGGAAGGTTTCTTTTGCCGCACTTTTCATTTTCATTTTTATTTTTGGAGATATCATCCTAGCTCTGGTAATATTGCATATTTGCATTTCACATCTACAATATACAAAGAGAGTACGGAGTACAGTGCTACTGGTTGCAGATTGGAAACAAGCCCAGCTCGCCTCGGGACTGTACCTGGCATTGCAACACGTCTTGGACCGGGGAAGAGGAGCCATTTCCCATAGGACGGGCTACAACACTTTTATTTATTTTGTTAGTCTCATTTTCCCTCGAAAAGAAAATCGAACGAAAAAAGAACAGGAGAAAACAAGAAGTGGCTCCCGGATGCAGACGGGATATGTGATCTTGTGTACACTTTGTACTATGGTACTTGGTAGTAAGAAAGGGTGCAAGTCAGATCATTTTGTACGCGTTAACTGCTCCACCATCCACGGCAAGCGAAGTAAAATGTCAAGGCAGAATAATTTATTTCCTGACGTCGGATGCCGGGAGTGTAATGCATTGCGACTGGGATCGTCGAGTCGTGACCGCTACGCATGGTTTATTATTTACATATATGTATTATCGGAGCTCTAGACTCTCGCCGATACCCCATGTGTCCGGTATTGTTAAGCGAATAACTAATATTAGCCGTTCAAAGCGACTGAGACAAAGGCTACGTAATATCTCCTATAGTCACCCTTTATATTGGCATCTGAGTACATTGTATGGAATCTGGATGATGACTACATAGTGTATGTTGCAGTCACAATAGCAGAGAACATAGCCTCAGCTGGAATAGACAGATTGTAGTTCCTACACCGTCAGAACCGCATTAATCGTTCATCACCCATGAGCCACCGAGCGGGGGGCAAAAAGAGTATCGATTACCCCGATCAAGGCTCCACTGAGTCAAGCGGTAGATTCTCGAATCCGCCATAGTCAAATCACTAGATGCAAACAAATCTTTGATTTCCAAAAAAAAAAAGTCAAGATTCAAGACCCTGTCAGTCTCAGCGCCAGCGCCAGCGCCCGAAACCAGCGCTTTGCTTTGTGACGTGCTCGGGGCGCTTTGCACGATCCAGACAACTTCCGAGAAAACTCCTGGTCAAGTTAAAAGTCAAAAAGCTAAAATAAATACAGATAATGATGTCCGATTGTTGCCCCTCAATCTGCTCTGTCTTTGAAACCTTTCGAGCATGTGGGTTGTGTGGGCTCGTCCACCCCCTCTATGGAGTACCTCTGGTGGTTGGCCCCTGTATGGGCGCGCGGGGGGGGCTGAAGCACGAAGTCTGGAATCAGAGATCAGCCTCAAAGAC